GCAACCTAAGGTCTACAATTTGTTGTAAACATTTCATGTTCTCTCTAAAATGCATGTGAAGTGAATGTCTTAATTATGGACATCTGAGTATACATCTAAAGAAAATTGTATAGGACAGTTTTGTATTAAATAAAAGCATATTGTAACTGGTTTTCTATACCAAAATTATCATAACAACTACCTGAATGATTAAAATAAAAATCAGGCTTTCTTTTTACAAGTAATGGACACAAGTTTAATTTGCTCTATTGCTGTACATATCTGCATTTTTCTATTAAAGAATTGTCTTAAAATTATGTACTTTTATAAGTTGCACAATAAAGCACAATGCTTCATTTTTCCTTATGAAATAAAAATATACTCTTTTATTTATGCCATGTATCTTGGATACATTTTATTTCTATAGACATTATCATAGAACTTTCCATGTGATATTAAAATTTGATTGTGAATTCCTCAACTTCTATAGCAGGACAATAGACTTATATTGTTTTTTTTGTTTTGTTTTGTTTTGTTTTTAATGTATCTTTGTAGTTAGAAGTATTATAGATGTCCCCTTTGGTTTTTTTTGTGTTTTTTTTTTCCCATTGGCCCTCTCTACCCTGCACCCTCCCCTCCCTGGCCTTCATCACTCTATTGTCTGTATCCATGCACTTATATTATTTTAATAGTTAAAATATAGTTTTCATTTTACTGGACTTATATTTTGTTTTTATGAATCTAATCTATCAAAAGTCAAATCCATCCAGAAATAGCTTTAAAAAAAGAGTAATGAAAGATATTCATAGATTTGTCTTTATGACTGGAAGACTTAGAGAAAAGCAGGGGTTAAAAATTATCTTGTTACCTCCCACACATGCATAGATTTTGAGAGGAGGCTTCTTTAATACTTCTTACTGAAGTATTTGTTACTTAAGGAAGTCTGTGGGTGGGTAAGATGTTATTATCCCTCCCACATACACCCTTTTTTGTATTTACAACATTCAATCTCCATAGATATAAGTACACTAGAAGCCCAATGCATGAAGATTCATGTCAGAACGGGCCTTCCTTTCCTGGCTGCTGGCAACGCCTTTGCTCTGGCCAGAACCCCCTTCCATCTTCCTACAATGTTCAGAGGCCCAGAGCACCCAGGGGTGGTGCAGAGCATTTGGTGCCCACGTATGCAAATTAACCCATCATCTTTGTTGGGTTGATTTGAATACTCACTCCTGATTGGCTGGTAGGTGTCACGAAGGTATAGTCAATTAGCATGTTACTCTTTTATTAGGTAGGTGAAGCACCAATTCCTTTCTTTCAACTACTTTCTGAAGTTTTTGAAATGTGGTCTATATATTGCCACACATTACCTTTCTACAGAATGCACATATATAGTCAGTCATAGTTTACCCTGAATTTTTCCAACTGAACACTTTTGTTTGAAAAGAGAATTCCATAAACAACAGGTCTTAGGTTCAAAACTAATAATATAGAAATATTCTTTGTATTGGAGCGTTTTCTGAAACACTTAGAGAAGATAGGACCATGGGAGTAGGAAAGGCCAAGATCTGTACACAGCATTAGTTTCTTACTGCACTACAGAGACTGTTAGGAATGAGTGCATGTTTGCAGATCATGTTGGAGACAGTGAATGATTTCCCTAAATAAAGTTAGTCCTTCAAATAGTTTCATCTGAATACTAGATCAACAGTTAAAAATTTTACAGATTCCTATAAAATGTATACTAACAAATTAAGATACATTTTATGAACCCTTTATATCCCTTTTATATTGTAATAAAAAGGTTTCCTCAAATGCAGTCAATAACAGGTGCGCTATAGAGCAGGTAAGTTCAACTTAAATAATTATTAACTAATCAGATCTGATCTTCATTGCTAATGCAATATTCATTCATTTAAAAAATGTAGAACGATCTAAAAAAGTAAAAATTGATATATTTTAAAGTGATTTTGGATTTGTAGGTTTAATGATGTCATTTATGATAATCACAAATATAAGTGTTTTGTAAATAAATCTGTTCATTTAAGTATTCAGATCAATGCACTCCATTGGGAATTATATGAAACTTGGTTAAAAATAAATTAAAAATCTAACCATTAACCATTGGAAGTGCTTGCAAAATGCCCCCATTAGTAATTAAATACACATTATTGAGAATACATCCTATAAAGATCAGTTAGAACAATCACAAGCGAGGATTGTGGGATTAACCAAACCCAATGATTAAATTAACCAATTCAATAACTTCTGGTTAATTCAAAGGAAATGAATTATGGCTCCTCTAAGACCTTGCAAATAGGAACTGTCAGAACACAAAGGCAGATCCGTCTCGTATAGTAGAGATAGCGAGTCCAATATGCTTCATGTACCACCAATGTATATGTGAATTGGCATGGTGCAAGGTTACTCTAGCCTGCATTTCTAGATTCAAGTTACTGAATTTTTTTGGCATCTTGTAATGTAGTAAAAAAATTAAAGAAAACTAAATCCATTAGTATTTCAGAGCAAAGGAACACAAAGATTAAAAAAAATCAGTTAAAATAAACCTTCAGTCCCTTATTTAAAAATGAGTTCATGTGACCAGGAGTAAATATCCATTAACACAGTTATAGAACAACTATTTTAAAAGCATATAATTCAGAAGTAAATGGACTAGATGCTTTGTTCTAGTTATCTCTTTCCTTTTTTTAGCAGTTTTTGCTTAAGAAGTTGCTCCCCTCCTCCCAAGCTATGATAAAGCACCTATAATTGAAAGGAAGATTAAAACAAACAAAAATAGCCGAAACCGGTTTGGCTCAGCGGTAGAGCGTCGGTCTGCGGACTGAAAGGTCCCAGGTTCGATTCCGGTCAAGGGCATGTACGTTGGTTGCGGGCACATCCCCGGTGGGGGGTGTGCAAGAGGCAGCTGGTTGATGTTTCTCTCTCATCGACGTTTCTAGCTCTCTATCTCTCTCCCTTCCTCTCTGTAAAAAATCAATAAAAAAATATATATTTAAAAAAAAAATAAAATAAAAAAAAATAAAACAAACAAAAATAGAAGAAAATAAGGAAAGCAAAGTGGTTCCAACTAGTGACTAAGTTTAAGTTATAAACATCATATTCACGAGATTAATTTTATTGTATAAACAAAATCACTTTACTCAGAATACAGGACAGCAGAATGAGTCAAATATTTCTACAGAAAATGCAACATCAAAGAATGAGGTTGACTTCACTTTCACTGGAGTATGCTAACGGCGATGAATGAACGCTGGGAACTAAACATAAGCCACGTCTTGTTATTAAAAGGTTAAATATTAAAAAATGATATATGTTATGAGAGTCAAACAGAAAAATTATATTGTGTTGTTTTAACAGAAAGAGCAATGAAGGTATTCTGTGTTCTGTAATCTGTTTTGTTTTCAAAGATGCTAAAATAATTACCAAGACTTGTTTTGTGAATAGTGGAACAGCTGAAGCTCAACACAATATTTGCAAAATTAGGTACCAGTAGTTCACACATAAGGCTAAATAGCTGGGAACTAAACAGCATTTTTCATAGAAACCATTTCCTTACAAAAGCAGTATTTTAAAAACTGATTCATTTCATAACATTCTAATAGTGAAACACCTAATCAAGGAACTATCTTCTTTTCTATTTATTTGAAATATAATTTGTTCTTCTACTAAGCTCTTCTTTTCAAACTGCTAGGGAAACTTTCTTAGAGATACTATATTCTTCAGCCAGAGCAGGAAATAAAAAGACAAAACATTTCTTAGAAGTAGTGAAAGCCTTATCCGTACATCAAATGATTGTCCAATGTCACATAATTTTAAATATATTTTATGCTGTCACTGTATTAAATCTTAAATCCTGTTTCGTTTTCGTCTTCCTGGAAAAAACCTGTGCTCTAATCGGCTGCTCTAATTGTGTTCTCTGGGCAGTGCTTATTTGAACTATTTAAGCCTTTCATTACATAAGGCTACTTGATAATTTGTAATGTGCTGACTGAACTAGATAAGGTATGCCATAGACAGTAGATTCTCCTGAACCCAAAGCCCTCTTTTCTTTACATTATCAAACCCCACATTTAAGGACTAAAATTTATTGGGAAGCATATATTTAATCATTTTATACTCTTTAAGCAAAGCCTTGAGAATATTTATGTTTTTATTCATTCTTTTCTTATTGTTCCTATTGGAATTACATCTAGTTATTTTTTTTTTCTTCTTCTTGGCCATAAAGCTGGAATTTTTGCCTAATTTAATTTGAAAAGCATTTTGGGAAATGAAGGTTCAATCCATATATAAAATCTTGTCAGTAAATACTTGAGATCAAATTTTTAAAGTTTTTGGCTCTCTCTTATCCTATACACTTCCTTAAACATACAATTATAGAGTGAAAACATATATATATATATATATATATATATATATATATATCTTATTTTAGTGAAAATAAATACAGATTTAATCGAAGTAAAGATACTATTCCTATGTTCATGGGTCTAAATTGTGTTTAAACATTCTTTTACTTTCCTTTTAGGAGCACAACTTCCTTCAGTTTCAAATTATTAATCTGATAATGTCAACCCTGTTTACAAGGTAGTTATGTATGTGCTAATATTAATACCTGATAATTAGTAGCAATATTATAAAAAAACAATTATTTAAATTATTTTTTCATGAGTTCTTTTTGCCTTGACAAGTATACTTATCTTCTTTCTGGAAGTTTTGACATGCATATGTATATCTCAAAGATAACTCAGACACAAACAGATAAGCAAACAATAAGGATTAGCTAGAGATAGCATTCTTAAGTATAATTCCTAAATATATCAAATAACTTACATAGTATATACACTTACTTATTAAGGATAATGATATATTTTTGTTTTCTCCTTTACTAAAATGCAACTTCTAAATTCCTTTCAAATATTTATAATAGCAAATATATAAGTAAACAAGCACAAATAATATTCACATGAAAGTCTTCAAATATGTAAACAGGCAACTCCTACCTCCATCTCCAGATCCGGATCCTGCATCTGGGAGGAAGAAAGAATATTTTATTTTTGCTTGAAAAACATATTTAAAACTATTTATGACATTTTTTTTAGTTCATGTTTCCTTTCTTCACTAAGACAGTAATATAATTGAGAAAATTACTATTATTTAATCTGAAAATGTGTATTCACATTGATTAAATTTCTATAACACGACTTATAAAATAAATTCTCTATTACTTTCATACTTAAATTTTATTTAAAAAGGATTATCTAGTTTTAAAATAATTCCTAAACTTGACTATGTAAGACTCTCTCATTTTAATTTTAATCAGGATAAATCTGGCGGCATTAACAAAAACAAAAAGTTTGAAAATGAGATGCTTATGACAATCACTGAGAGTTAGCATTTACATAGTCTAAGACATGTAGCAAGTAAAATCATAATTAAGCTTTATATTCTTGTAAATTGCATATGCACAAAGAGAAAAAACAGTTTAAACATAAATCTCTTTTTATATAAATGTTAATATGTATTCCAAATGCCACAATTGTGAATGAATCTATCAGCCACCAACAGCATTCTTGTTTTTGAAATCAGTGGAAGAGTGACATTAACTTTGTGTTTGTGTTTAAAACTCAATATACCCTAGGTGGTGCTCGCAATAAGAAACAATCTCTTTTCTGCATTTTCCTTTCTCCATTCCTTCTCTCCCCTCCTTCCTACATAATTTCAGCTGGTCAGAGCTGTCTATTTCTGACAGTTCCCAGAAGCACGCGATTTTCTAGTTGGAGTCAACAGCACTGAGATTCCATCTGCTCCCACCTGTTAAGTATATAGACATTGTCTTCCTTCTACCTCCATACTTCTTTCCCATCTAAATGCACTGGGTTATGTAACTTTGATATTAATACTGGGAATAAGACTAGTACTGGTATTCTCTGCCTGATACGCCCTCATCTCACATGGAAATCTTCATCAGAGTTTAAGACCTATATCAAATGCCACTTCTATAAATTTGTGGTTGATGTTTTGTTCTAATGAAAATAAAACTTGCCACCGTGACACCTTATGGAAAGGCACTGCACAGAAAGAAGCAGAGTGGATGAAAATCCACAGAAGGCTGACACATATGGAAAATGGATGCCTCCTCAACAGCCTTCCTTGGCGTGTTACGCATTAGTCAGCCATGAAGGAGCGGTAGTTGGAATTGCCAGCCTTGGTGGGAACTCGTATTAACGAAATTCACAGGATCTAACTGTATAAAATGTCATCTTTAATTAACTGCTAATGTGACTAAGGCTCATGTTTCTGGGACATCATATCCTTTCTTGAAAGATAAGCTAGTTGGTAAAACAATCTATAATAATAAAAGTGTAATGTGCTAATTAGACCGGACAGCGAAATGACCTTCCGGATGACCTTCCAGGTGAAGCTGCAGCAGCAGGGGCTGAGGCAGAGGCAGTTAGGGGCAATCAGGCAGGCAGGCAGAGTGGTTAGGGGCTATCAGGCAAGCAGGCAGGTAGGCAGAGGGGTTAGGGGCAATCAGGCAGGCAGGCAGAGGGGTTAGGGGAGATCAGGCAGGCAGGCAGAGTGGTTAAGGGTGATGAGGCAGTCATGGAATTGGGCCTAAACCGGCAGTCAGACATCCCCCAAGAGATCCTCGATTATGAAAGTGTTCAGGCTGGACTGAGGGATGCCTCCCAAACCTCAATCATGAATTTCGTGCACTGGGCCTCTACTTTAGAATAAAAACCCTTTGTAGTAAGTATAGAAAATAAGGGTTTTTAAAAATTTCATCTTTATTGATGAAAGTATTACAGGTATCCCCTTTTTTTTCCTCCCATTGGCCCTCTCCACCACATCCCTCCACCTCCAGGCCTTCCCCACACTATTGTGTCTCATGTGTTATGCATATATGCATACCAGTTCTTTGGGTAATCATATAATCTGACCGTTTAATGGCAACAGATCAAAAAAGGCTGAAGCAATCATTTCCAGAGTAGAACAGTCCTGTCCACTTAACTGACAGCCATAAGCCATGGCACCATCACTTTTGGACAGGACAGTGCTTAGCAAATCTCCTCTTTGTATACCTTCCCAAGTAAAATTTTAACCAATTTTATTTGAATGAATTTGAAAGCTTAGTTCAGTATTACTTACAATCATCAGGGGCTAACAACAGATTATATGATTACAGCACTAATACATTTTACCTGTGCTTTAGTCGAATGTGTAGTTTCTTATTCTTTTCCCACTAGACCATAAGCTTCTTTAATTCAAGGCCCATATATTGTTTAGTTTTCCATCCTTACATAGATATACGAGGAAATCTGTGAAAGCTTAAGGATTTCAAGCTCCAAACATCAGAATGTTACTCACTAGATGACATAAGGAATGTTATTCAATCTTCCTAAGCTTATTCATCCTCTATTCAATGGCTATAGTAAAAGTGCATCCCATTGGGCTATTTTGAGAGTTACTACACAATATCATATTGTAAATGTTTGTCGTGCATCTGGAACACAATAATTAAATTTTTGAGTAAACATGTTGCCTATTCATCTATAGGTTTCCTTATAAATACACATTGCTGGGGGAAATCAAGAAAATGGCAGAAGTTTGGTTTGTATTTCCCATGTATTTTTCAAAAAAATTGATGCAGTTTGGTTCATAAGCTAATTTGCATTTGATTTGACCCATATTGAGTATGTAGGAAAGAAAGGAACAACAGATTTTAAAAACAATCACTGAAGTTCATGGCATCATTATGAACTAGTGATGGAAAGCTTTCAAGATTACTGTAAGATGAGTCATTTTGGCAATCAAGAGGTAAGTTAGCCGGCAGGCGGCGGGAGGGAGAAAAAAAAAAAAAAGAGGTAAGTTAGCCACTAAAACGTTATTAGTGAGACAGAAACACCTAAGACAAAAAGCATATGGTTGGACTTGAATCTGGGCTCCTAGTCAATGCATTTCTTTTAAGGCAAAAAAAGGTGAAACAGACAGGGAGGCTGTGGACCAGACTGCCCGACAGAAAACTGTTTTCTGGACCAAAAATTATGTTTATGTTCAATGAAATAAGAGATGGGCAGAAGTAGATTTACAGTTGCTCCTATGGAAAAAGACATGAAGGTTAGGCTTATTAATTAGCTTTCTTACTGGTGTTTCTGACTGTGTATGACTGTAAACCTATTTCTGCCCTCCATTCCAGTGTGAAGACACAGCTACATCTCTTACTGCCTTTTTTTCCTGGAGACCACACCTGGCCCCCACCACTCAGTGTCAAACAGCATTAGGAAATAAATGGAAAATCCACCAAGAAGAGAATGCGGATCTCCTTTAGACTGAAAGTCAGAATTCCAATTTATTTAGAGTCAGATCTGGTTAATCAAAGCTACTTTGGCCCCTCCATCACTATCCAGATCAAAGCCCTTTCAGACTTACAAGTCCATGGAAGAGGTGTTCAGCAGTCCTGGCTTGCTAATTAAATCCTGGAGAAATCTAAAGCTATGAATGGGCTAGGGATGGAGTATCCACTGTGAGTAAGTTTTCTGCATGGTTAGGTGTTTATTTTCATAGTATAAACCACACAGAAGGGACCAGAATTGGGAGATCTGAATGAATCAGAAGAATGCAATTGCACATGCTGCCGACAAAAACTCCGAGGCTGACAGGTGAGAGAGATTTTGCTACGTTGTTAGCCATGCTCATAGCTTCATGAGTACTCCTTAGGAGGACTGTCCCCTGGTTCTCACGTGGCTGCTGTCAGGACAGCCGTCCTATATGGTCCTGAATAAGCAGATATTTCCCTTAGTCCTTGCTGGTATTGGACTACATGGGACTTGGCTTCCAGGAGTCAGATGTTACTTCCTCTTCTCTTTGTCTATTCTATTTGCCCTGTGTCTTATTTTTCACTTTTTCTTCATCAGACATGGGAGACGGGTTGATTTTTCATAGTTTGTTTGCTCTGTGCCTTCCTGCCTAGCTCCCCCAGCCCTGCTCTGAGAGCAGCATATTGATCCTCCTCCTCTCCTCCTGGGGAAGGTGGTCCAATAACTCTCACTTCTTGCTGTCACTTCCACTCACAGGTGGATGGCAACGATCGGTTTGCTCTGGCGAAGAAGTGAGTGCAGTACCGACCAGTCCAGCTCCTCCCCCTCCCCCCGTCCTCCCCCAGTCACCCTTCCAAAAGGACATTCACATCGTGAGGCACAGAATCCCGGAGGAGAAAAAACTACTTAGAAACTAAAACCCCAAACAGAAAACCTACATTCCTCTCTCCTGCTAATTCTCAGAAACTTTGGGAGTCAGCAATGCAATATCAGAACATTATCAATTACTAACAATCAATCAAAGATAGGCTTAAGAGAAGCTTTTAAAGAATGAGACCTTTTTTCTCATTTACCACCCTGCCCCAGCCAGCATGCACACAACTGTTAATAGTTCCCTAGAATGGAAATACCTGTTATCCAAGAGGTATTTTTAAGACACTAGACTTCTCCTGGCACTATTCCATGATTGCATCTTCAAAGGAAGTTCATATTTTATAGCAATATTATTTTTCCCTGGCCATGCCTCTATCATACTCGGAAAAATGATGCATATTTGCCATTAAGGACAACTACCACAAGACAACTACCTCGCATGTGATTTCAGTGTCTCACAGCTACTGTGCAAACGTGGCTCCATTGTAGGCACTGCTTTAGGGAGTCAGCTCTGCTCAATGGTGGGGTGTTTTCCCTGCCTTCAGTGCTGGTCAGCTCTGAGAGCCACCGCACACAAAAGGGAGACCTGACAAGCTAAAGAGCATCATCTGTGACTTTGTAAGTTATTCTTCCCTTCACTTTCTGTACAGTGTTTTTCACACTGTAGCTCAGGGCGCTGTGGGAGTCCCAGGCTGCTTGTGTCAGAAAAGACAGGTCCATCGGAAGGAATGTCCACCACCAATCCAGTCTCCAAAATAAGCTACTCAATGGCTTGAGGGCATTTGGCAGAGCTGCTAACATTAGCATCATCTTGCCTTCCAAACCCAAATCCAGCAGAAGATGCTATTGCCCAAAACATACTAATGTATCCGAATAGATAGGTGTCTGTATAGTTGAACCGGGGTGCTCAATCTAGATTTTTAATTATATTAGTCAACTGTCTGCACTTCGTTGAATCACATATGTATTAAAATCTACCAGTATCACCGTGCTGGGGAGGGCTGGGGAAGGGGTGGGCATGGGGCATAGGGGGTCAATGAGGGAGGCAAGGGGGACATCCATAATACCTTCAACAAAAAGATCAATTAAAAACAATAAAATCTACTAACATCCTGATGGTAGATTTTCTCTTCCGGAAATGATTTGAAATGCAAAAAGGCACAGACTGAGAATAATTTATCTTTGTGCAAAGAAATAGAGGCTTATCTAGCCAATGTAGAGTCTAAAGATAACAACAGAAAGCAGGACATGGTTTGGGGATGGGGAACCCCCCAACAGGTGTGGGGAGCCGGCAGGGTCATGGGCCTACCGGTGGCGCAGGAGCCTTCGGCCGCCACGAGGATCTCGCTCTGCTGCTTGCAGGCCGCCTGGCGCAGGAAGCACTCGTTCTGGAAGCTCTCCCCATTGGAGCCGCACACAGGAACATAGTCGTTGTTGCACTGGGGGGGACACATAGAGGGGCGCCTTGGTTAGTACCGGGTCAGGCAGCTCCGACTTCGGGAACAGGAAAAAGCATTTACAGCAGAAAGCGCCTGTCTTCCTTCTCAGCGGTCTTCCCATCGTCTTTGACCTTGCAAGGGAATCATTCAAAGACACACAAAGCAATGCCACGTCAGCCAGCCCGTCCTTTGATTCGGATTGAAAAGGAGCCTTCTAAATTGATCGGGCAGTTCGAGCAAAGTGATCAGACAAGCAATACTAAGAAGAGATAGCAACAGATATTACTAATACTGTAGAGTACTGTTTTTCTGTTATATGGCCCATCTGGCTTGGTGGGGAAAATAAAACATGCTACAGTATTGAAAGCTGTTAGAAAACAGGTAATGTCTATATTTGGAGAGCAAATGTGTATAAGTGAAATGCCAGAGAATTCAGCCACTCTTTAGCATGATTTTCTGTTGATTTTTTAATCTTTATAAATTTCTAAATATTTGATAAGACACTTGGATTACCACTTAACTTTTTATATCATTAGATAGGGGATGCTATGTAGATACACTGTTGAGAGAAATGAAATACAGGGGAAAAAATTTAGCAACTATTGAAATACATGTAAACTTTATTGATTATTCAAAAATATGACTATTACATATTTCGTAAAGAGAAAAGTTCAGTTTAACGGCAGTCTTATTATGAAGAAGTACAAATTTTACAACGAAAATCAGGCAACCTGCAGGGGACACTCATCATAATATAAACACAGCCTAAGGCCATGGAGGTACTTGGCCATCCCGGGCCTGCTAACCATGCCAGAGGTGATTATCGCCTGATGATTGCTACAGATGTGCTTCATTGTTTAATCACAACAAATATAAGGATGAAGATGATTATTTACAAATACCCTGCCTATGCCAAAAAGTGAGTAGAGCCAGTCAGGCATACACAGGTATGTGAAAAACACTTTGCTGTCTTCTACTTCTTGTTAAAATCTTTGGATTTTTAATGTGTCGTAAATGCATAACACTTTGCAACAAACCAATGATCTAGTGAGATGGCTAGGAAAGGTTTAATATATATGGTAATAAACCTAAAACCCTATCATAAGGTAAATTCAACTCAAGGATTTATGCAACAAAAGAGGAAGTGCTCAATAAAGTTACAATCTGGTGATAAAAACCTGAGATTTACTTTTTTACTCTATTTCCTTACGATATCTGTAATTTCTTCTCCCAATCAACCAGTGAACTCTTGCTCTCTGCCTTTATGTAACACTAGAGAACTGGTGCACAAATTCGTGCATGGGTGGGGCCCCTAGGCCTGGCCAGAGATTGAGCCTATCAGGGGGCCAGTTGGCTGGGGGTGGGATCCTGGGAGGATGGCTTTCTGGTTCCCAGATCAGGGCTTATTTGTGTAAGGTGACCAGACGTTCCACTTTTGGTGGGACAATCCTGATTTTTAACAATTTGTCCCGAGTCCTGCGGCATTTTAAAAAAGTCTGGTCACCTTATATTTGTGGGGGTGGGGAGCACCGGAAGGAGGGAGGGACTGCGGGAGGTTGGCCAGCCAGGGGGAAGGGCCTCAAGAGGATGGCTGTGGGAACACACTGACCACCAGGGTCAGTGAGCATCATAGCGACTGGTTGACCAGTCATTCTGGCCATTCAGTCGTACGGGTGGCTTAGGCTATTATATATATAGATTGGCTTAATCATCCTAATACTTCACAATGATATAAGTCAATGTTCTCTGAAAAGACAGTCATTTTATTAGCCGTATTTTGTATCAACTAATGAAAACTTAAATATAGTTTTTTTTACTAATAGTGATATACTTTTCTCCTAATAGTAAATCCAAATTCAATGACACTAATATTAGAATCACCGTAATTGCTAATATGGCGATTTAGACATTAAATCATATTCATTTAGCAAATGAATATTATTAAAGTGATTCAAATATTTAAAATGTGGCATATTTTAGAAATCTTTATTTCAACAATTTCTAATCTAGTCATTCTGAATAACACTCTCTATAATAATTCCTTCCCATGTTACACTATTGGCTCAGTCTGTCTACATGATTATATTTTACAAACTGTTTTGATTGAAAATTCTGCTAATGAGGATCTTTAACTCAATAACTAATTCTGGTCAGGTGATACATGTGTAAGGCAGCCTTCCACATGTTTTCCAAATACATACATATAAACATGTATATTAGCCTACATCTGAAAATCGACCAACCACAGCACTGAACGTCTTCATCCTTACTGAAGAAATAAGGCAACAGCACAATGTCAGTGAAAGCTGAATCGTCCAGTGAGCGGTGCTGAGGAGACATGCAATGAGTGGGGCTGGAGCGCATGTCATTGGCATGGCCAGGTGAATGATGGGAGCTTGACAAAGTGGTGTGATCAGGACCAGGAGCAGGAGAACCTGAAGGAGACTGATGAGGATGCACCAACACTGCAATGGCACCTGAACAAGTGCAGGAGACACTGTGAAGAAGTAAACAGCTGGTATCACAGTCAGTAGACCTATCCAGGCAGATGACTGGACTAGTTAGTCTCTTGCTGGGGTCCTAGTATTCTTGTCACTGGTTACCTTGCCATCTCTACCTCCAGCCCTGGTTACAATCCTTTAGGTGTTGATTATTGGGGTCCACGTTTCCTCTCTCTGATTCCTTGTTTCCCTATTTATCCTTCTTCTCTACCTCCGCAGATTACTCAGATGTAGGAATGGACTGGGTGTGAGCTGTGGGAGGTGTTTATTTTCTCTTTCAAGTGCTAGTCCACAAGGCTGGCATGCATCTTAAAATATCCAATAAACCGATAACGCGCTCATATGCCACGGCTGAGGGGAGTGGCATGCCAAATGCGAGCAGTGCTAAAAACTGAGCTCGAGCTCCCTGCACACACACGCCAGAAGGCAGAGGAGTCCGGAGCGGGAGAGAGCTTAGCTGCAGATTACCACAAGATGCTGTGGGCCCTTTAGAGCCAGGCCTTGCACTCATTGATTAGAATCACACACGGAGGGAGCACACTCTAATCACTAAGGCGCAGGAGTGATGTCCAGTCCCAGGCGCTCCCATTTCTCTCACTGCCTTGGTATAGGTCAGTGGTTGGCAAACTGTTGCTTGCGAGCCACATGCGGCTCTTTGGCCCCTTGAGTTTTTAGTAAAGGCCCGCTTAGGATTACCCTAATTAAGTTAATGACAATGTACCTACCTATATAGTTTAAGTTAAAAAAATCTGGGCTCTCAAAAGAAATTTCAATCGTTGTCCTGTTGATATTTGACTCTGTTGACTAATGAGTTTGCCAACTACTGGTGTCGGACTTTGTGTAGAGCACTCAAGGATGACATGTTTAACAAGTTCATACCTCAGTTTCCCCATCTGAAATGATTCATTGGGGCATTCAGGAGGGTTAACAAAGTCATGTTTTAAAAACACTTTGCACTGTTTACTTATGAAAAGAAATAGAAACAATTTGTGTTTTCACTGGCAGAGTCATCACCATCCCACATCAACTCTTAAACATGCATGTCTAAAATTAGAAAAATAAATTAAAACAGGAGAAGCCTAGCATAGAAATAAGCTAACTGCTACATTAAAATATGCCAAGTTGTTTGGAATAGTTTTTTCCGGGGTAATCATAATACTGCTCAGTTAAAAAGGAAGGGCCATATTCAGATGGTGAGTGACTTGCTGAAGGCTACAGAGTTGGCTGGTAAGAGAAGAAATAAGACTCAGGCCCAGATGGTTAGGCCCATAAATGTATGTGTTGTACCAACTTCCTCTCAGGGAAACAGTGATTCTATTTCTTGTAAGATGTTTTAGACTCTTAAGTTTATTTTCCAAATATGTGTTTTTCAGTAGAATGGTTTTGTTCCAAAATGCCCACATTGCTGGAGAAAGCGGCTACGCGCTACACTGGCAGATTCATGAGTTGACACTAGAATATATGGAACTCATTGGGCTATAAATGGACAAAAAGTGTATGTGAGACGCTTCTCTGTGAGTGATCGCTTGTTTGGTTAGTAAGGATTTCATGGAGTGGAGATTTCAGCATCTAGGAACGATGCACAACTTCTATTTTACATACGGTCTGCACCTTCTCTAGAATCTGGCTGTAGAAGGCTCTCCACAGACGTTAGGGAATTCTGCTACATGCCAGTTGTTACAGGCTTGGGAATGATTTCTTAAACATGGTGTGCTTCTCTTACAAAAGAGAAAAAGCCTGCCTTACGGCCCAACCCTTTGATCATTTCATAGTTATCTCTTACTTCTCTGTGAGTGATTTTTATTTTTTTTTAATTATTTTATTTTTTAAATTAAAAAAATATATTGTTGAAAATATTATGTTTACCTCCTTTTCCCACCCCTGCCTTCCCTCTGAGATTCCACAGTCTGTTCCATGCTTCTTTGTCTTCTGGATCTGTGGATGTTTCTGTATATAGAAACATTTTTATGATTTTAAGAGTGGGCAGGCCTGTGACCATGGTGATAGTGACTCTGTGACTTCTGAGACTAAGTCATTAAAGGATCCAGCTTCTATCTGATTCTTTCTCTCTCTCTGGATGCTTGCCCTTGAAATCCAGCTCTGAGGAAAACCAAACTAGTCCACACAGAGAGATTCACGGAAAAGGACCAAGTCTCCCAGCTGCCAGTCAGACATGAGTGCAGAACCAAACCTTTCTCTTCCCTCCCTCCCTCAGCCAGCACCAGTGGAGAAGAGATGAGCTGTCTCCATTAAGCCATGTCCAATTACAAGTTCATAAGCAAAATACTGTTCATTGTTTTATGCCACTAAGTTCTGGAAAACTTGTTATGCAGTCCTAGTAAGTGGAATAATTGCAGATCTAAAGCATGGCTTATTAGGTTAAAAAAAGTTTAATGTTTGGGTGAGTAATATCCAAAACACATTAAGGCATCATCATATTTTTAAATTATAAAGTGATAATTAATCATTATTTGTCCAGCATTATTCCTTCCTTCCTTCCTTCCTTCCTTCCTTCCTTCCTTCCTTCCTTCCTTCCTTTTTTCCTTTAATCCATCCATCTATCCATCTATTCACTCATCTATCCATCCCTCCATTGTCTCTAAATTTTCCTCCCCACAAATGATTTACCAGATGAACCAGCACACCACTTGGTATATGGATAGGAATGTAGGATACAGGAAACTGAAACTCATTTCTGGAACTCATATCATCACCTAATAATTAGTTGTACTACTTTTTAAGAAATACGTTTTCATTGATTTTAAAAAGAGAGAGAAACATCAATGAGAGAGAAACACCAATTGGCTGCCTCCTGCATGCCCCCTGCTGAGGATCGAGCACAAAACTGAGACATGTGCCTTGAAGGGGAATCGAATCGAGGACCCCTTGGTGCATGGGGCAATGCTCAACCAACTGAACCACACTGGCCAGGGTGGTTGCATTACTTTTGACATTAAGAGTCCTCCACAATAAATGTGTACTTTTGTAATTATTACTACTATTTTTATTTGCATGTATAATATTCTAGGAAAATATTTGGTTTGGTGTCAAAGGACTCCATTCTTGCTTTAGGATCACCACTCAGTGGTAAGTTATTATATATTTATGGGCCTTAACTTCCTCATCTTTAAAGAGAGAAAATAATGATTTCACGCAGTTGTGAGAAATAAATGAGATAGAGAAGTCCCTCCATGACTTCAGTCACCAGCAGTTAATATCTGTTAGAAAATATTAAATTGAAAATTCTTGAAATCCAAGTCATTGCTTTTAAAGGGGGTGCCTTTCTGCTTAGCGTGATAATAGCTCATACTCACCCATGCCATCCCACCGGGTATGAATCACCCCTTTGTCCGTGGCTCCCTACCCATTAGTCACTTAGTAGCGATCTTGGCTATCAGCTCAACTGCTGGGGTATCCCAGTGCTTGTGTCCAAATAACCCCAATTTTACTAAATGGCCTCAAGCGCAAGAGGTGGGATGCTGGCAATTCGGATACAAGGTAAATACAGTCCAAGACATTGTGTGTGAGAGAGAACACACATGAACGTAACTTCTACCACAGCCTAGGCTTTAACTTTTCTGTTTTATTCTAATCACTGTTGTTCATCACTTGCTGTGCCTGCTTTATAAATTAAACTGCCAGAGGCTTGTTTACATAGGAAAAGGCACAGTATGTAGGGTTCGGTGCTCTCCTCGGTTTCCTTCCCACCGGGATTCAGGGGCTATTGGAATCTGTCTAAAGGGGAGAATGCACTGGTTTCAAATCAGAAGAGAGATGAAGGCTCTCTGTCTGTGCGTCTGCCTCTATCTCGCTGGTTGGTTCGCTCGTTCATTAGATTCCTCATACGAGGGCAATGATGTGACGCTTGTCTTTCCTCTGACTGGTTCCTTTCAGAGAGCTGGCTGACAGCTGGGGGAGGGAGGAGGGGGGAGGCACTGAGCAAAAAGAAGGAATAAAAGAGAAAAAAACCCTCATGGACACGAACAACAGTGTGGTACTTGTGGGGGTTCGGGGGCATAGGAGGGGGGTAGTGGAGGAGGGTGTAGGGGGATAAATGGGGATGGATGGAGACTTGACGTGCGTGAACACACCTTACAGTATACAGAGGATGTATTGTAGAATCATGCATCTGAAACCTATATAATTTTGTTAATCAGTGTCACCCGGATCAATTCGATAAATATAAATATCACTAAATAAAATAAAAATTAAACAAATGAAGGCCACTGTATGTTCACCTTAGTGCTCCAATAAAAATCTAAATTGGAAAACATTATAGATTATATACACATACACCCCTTCCTCTTTGAAATTTATCTCTCAGCCAAAAAGGTGTCAGTGTATATGTTATTTGAATGAAAGAATTATGACCTTCTATTGTTCAGAATAGTATACAGGACAATAGATTTTCAGGAAATCTCTCTATCAGATACCAGGGAATTAAATAAAAACACTCAAATCCATTGAAAAGTATTGGAAAAGCCTGACTCAAGATTCTTAGCCTAAAATAGCCTACATATCATACTTTGTACAACTTGTTCATTTTCTTTGATCTGCAATTCAGCCATTGTAGAGTCTTGGTAGGCACAGAGTCTATTCCACCAGGAAAATGTTTCTTTTCTCCCGACACCTGACAACTATTGTAAAGCATAACCTAATGGCAGCAGTGATGTAGCAATAAACTTAAAATGCTACAGACAGTAGGAAAGGAACATTTACATTTCCTGTTTCTTCTCTCCATCTATTCCACTCCAGGACTGTTTAAATTAATGACACATTTAGCTGGCTGACAACGCAGGAAAAACACAAATCTCTTTGTTATTAGAGATTTTACCAAAACCCTCAATGGAACCTGAAAACTAAGCACCATTCCTTTCATAAGAAAGTTGCACATTTCCCTTTCGTAGCGTGCGTCCTTCAGAATTTTGTGGACTCCTCGCCATGCCCCCCACCTACCCTACCCCTTTTCGGAATGTGCAGAATTATCACTCTTCATTTGAGGAGCATTCTTTTTGATTCATTATACACTGTTTATGATCTCCCCTCTAGGGTTACCCTTGGTTATGAAAATAAGACACATTTATAGAAATCACACACTGAAAGTGGAAGAAATCCACCAAATTCTGTGGGTCTTTAATGACTTCTCCAATTGTATTTCCCCTTCAGTTAACATTTGGGGAAAGTCTGAATTGAGAATTCTCATGTTCTATCTCTCTTAAGAGAGTATGTAGTTCATTGATAGAACGTCATTACATTGACCAAAGTGCATGAAAACCAGCAGGGTGGTGTCACATGCATACTAAATATGCACAGATATGTTTCTAAGACTATAGAATGGTCTAAAGATTAGGGAATGGTCATAGCAATGCTCAAGTATCAGTTTTATTGCGGGTTTTTTTGTTTGTTTGTTTGTTTGTTTGTTTAGAAAGAAGAAAATAATATCCAAGAAGCTTTTAGTTTATCTATAAACCAAAGTATAGTTAATTGTGAATTCTCTTATCTCTCTCACAGGAAGATTGAATTCAATCTAAAATATTTAAATTGCATCAATAATCTAAATATTACCCAACTATAACAAATATTTAGACCTGAGCTTGATGTTTAATGTTCTTATTTGTTCTATATCCTTTTTAATTGCTTTTACAATCTTAAAAAAGTTTCCCCCATTCCTACCTATATAGTTTTATTAATGCAAATATTTCCTGGTTGAACCTTATGTGAGAATTCATGTGTATTTACAATAATTCAGTAACACTCAAAAGATGAATATAAGACATGAGCATGATATGTGAAAGTCTATATGATTATGTAAACATTTTGAGAGAAATAAAGGTTTATAATTTATATGGTAGGAAGCATTGTTAAATGACGACTATACTAATGACACTAATAACTCTATCATTAATAATTACTGATAATCTAGTTTTGATGACAACAGTGCTGCAATATCTCTCTTTGTATTTGCATTTATTTATTTATTTATTTATTTATTTATTTATTTATTTATTTTAACATGCTGCAAAGGACATCTTCCTACTGCTTCTGAAATCACCTGTGGCTATCTGTGCTCTTTTGGATTTCTGGAAGATTCATTTATAATTGCATATGGCACCCATGACCCATTGACATATATTAGCAAGTTCCATGATTTCCCAAACTAACACAATAGTTTTGAAGTCACATTATCAGGGAGTTCATTTAAACACTTAGCCAGATTGCCAGGACAATAAAACCGAAGACCATTCAAAGAGTGTGCAATATGATCAAAGATGATAGCTCCAATCAAACGGGAATGTACATGACATTAAGCCAGTCAGAGACAGATACCATATGATTTCACTCCTATGTGGCATGTAACAAACAACTGAACTACCAAGCAAAATAGAGACAAACTCATAGAGAGGAGGTAGCTAGCTCCTGGGGCAAGGGGTGAGGGTGAGGGATTGAGCAAAAAAAGAAAAGAGAGAGAGAGAGAAAGAGAACTCATGGACATGGACAGCAGTATGGATTGGGATGGAACAGGGCATAGAGGGGACCAGTGGTGATGGAAAAAATAAAACATTTAAAAAAAAGGAAAAGAAGTACAAGCCCACACTTCCACTGGCTGTTGACTGGTATCCTAGTAGCTGACTTATAAAATGCATGCCGGAAGAGACACAGACACAGATTTTCCTTTGGCACAGCAGAGAAACAACCTGAGCCTTCGACCTCCATGGCATGTCTAACTGTGGCATATGCCAGTCTCAAAGACAGATAACCAACTAAATACAGGGTGCCTTCTTGACATCATTGCCTGTGTTGGTGCCAGGGAGATCCTGGCTTGGCAGTCCCATCAATGAATGAGAAGATGCAAATATCAAGCTTACCTTGAACTGACAGACGCAAGTCACAGTGTCTCCAATCCTTAAGCACTCCCCATCGAATTTACAGGTGTTGGTGTCACAGAGGAAGAGATCATTTTCTCTGTCGTCATAGCCTCAGATGTAAAGAGAACACCCCAGTCATTACAAAATGTCATAGACTTTGACAAACATCGTAGTATCTTGAGGCTTTAAAAGAACTACCCTAAATTTTAATTTGGACAACCACAGCTGTATTGCAAGGTCATTCTACTGATAACCTAAAAAAAAAAAAATCTAATTAAGAAATCAATATTTGTTTCTTTTTTTTTTCATATTGCCTTTCTCTTTAATATCCTTTCTTTCTGTTTTTTTTTTTTTTTTTGTGTGTGTGTGTGATGCTCTTTTATTTTAGCGAGGTTTGACATTAACAATGCAGAATGGATATTTAACACTGGCTTCCCAGCTTCCTTTCTGTTTTCTCATTAAGTGAACTATAGTTGATGACCCCCACAGGCCACATTTTTAAAGAGAATTGTGATGGTCTCCGAATGGCATGTCACCAGTGCTCCATCTTCAATCATCCTTTTGCTTTACGGTCTGAAACAACCTCTTATTTGGAGTTTCTCCAGACAAAGAGGAAACAAAGCCCCAATAATAAAGATAAACAGGCACAGTGTTTGCTGTGATGGTCTGTCTGGCCCAGAGGAAGATTGATCGTCTATAAGTTAACAGGGGTAGGGGGGGAGTGGGGGGGGAGAGCGGGGTACCCTGGTCTTGACATCCTGCCTGGAAAGCCAGTCCGTTCTCTTTAGCTTCTGCAGATCCCTTTAAGATATCCGGCTGATAATGAATTTCTTCCCTGCCAACCTCCATCTCTGAAACAATACTCTAGTTAGGGACGAAGCAAATGGGTCGTGTTGGACTACAAAGCTATCAACACTTCAAACAATTGATCTTGCAGCTGGTTTGATATTCCTATGATCAAGTGCCTGGCAAGTGCCCGGGCATCTGCTAAGAGGAAATCCGTCTTTCAGACATGGCATGCATGCACACGTGAACCAGGCACAAGTAAGTTACAGAAAACATGATGAGTTTTAGAAAAATGCCACATTTAGGAACTGTTCTCAGAACAAAAGCAATCTATTGACCCACACCTAGCAGGGTTGCAGATCTCAACCGGTATCTGCAAAGCCCAAACTACAGTGAGGCACAGTGACTTTCCTCAGGTAATTTAGATCCCCAAGAGCCCAGGACTCTGTATGCTATCGCCCTGGAAGTTACAGCTGGTCATTCCATCCTTCTCCAAGTTCCAGCGCTTCAGCTCCCATACATCCTTCAGACGCAGCTTCATTCAAGGCCAGAGAGAACCACAGAGGGTCACATCCACGGAGGATGGAAAAGACATACCCACTGGCTAAAGCCAGAACAGCCCATACCAAGGGGACAATACCCTGCGCCTTAATGGAGCTGACAATGCCAAAGGAATCGCACCGCCATCCCGTGGTGCGCTAAGGGCTGTCACCCCGAAAGGCTAAGCCGGCTCCTGGAGCCGCAACTTCCACCGGAGCGAGCTGGCTGGCGGGCCGGTGTCATCAGGATGCTTCAGCTCCCGCTCAGACTCAGAGGGCCAGGGAAGGCAGAGGCTGCTCTGCCCGAAGGTCCGCTCAGAAAGGGAGGCGGCGCCCAGCCCCGGTCCCCCGCTCTCCGCATGGTCGCGCGTGAGCCTGGCCGGCTCGGTGCTGCCCACGCCCGGCCTGGGAGCCCCTCGCATGAATGGTTCTTCCCTCAACTTCCCTGCACCACTAGGCGCTGTGGGGCAGAGAGCGGCTGGGGCTGTCCAGGCATGGTCTTTGCATCCAAGGAGAGACAGGGGAAGAGAGAGAGGGAAGGAGAGATGGAGAGAGAGGGAGGGAGAGAGGGAGGAGAGGCAGGAGAGAGAGAGAGAAGGAGAGATGGAGAGAGAGGGAGGGAGAGAGGGAGGAGAGAGAAGGAGAGATGGAGAGAGCGTGAGGGAGAGAGGGAGGGAAGGAGAGGGAGGGAAGAAAAGAGGGAGGGAGGGAAGGAGGGAGGGAAGGAAGAAGGGAAGGAAGGAGGGAAGGAGGGAGGAAGGGAAGAAATTGAATGTCTGGAAACCAAGCTGCTTAGACTCTGCAGACCTGGCCTGGACTTGAGACGGGGCCCCTCACTGCACTTTCGCTAGGAACCAGCGCGTCCCCTGCGGTCACCATTTGATGGATTGCTCTCTCGCTGGTTCTCGCTCATAAAGTTATTTCTAGCTCATTCTAGCTGGACTTTTTTTCTCTGACGATATTAAAGGTTTGTTTAGCGTTTCCCCACGGACGGATGCTCTTTTCAGCGAGCCCACAAGACCAACATGCTTCATCTCCCTCCAAAGCTAAGCCGTCCGCATCCAGGCGCAAGGATGCTCAGGGTCCTACACCTGACCTCCCCTTCCCCTTCCCCGCACCCCTCCCAGCCCCCGCCCTCCCCGCGGCCCAGGATCGCTTCCCCGGCCCCTCCAGGTGGAGGGCGACCCGGCGTCTCCGGGGTCCGGGGCCAGAGGAGTGGAGGGCTGGGCGCGCGCCAGGTGTGGCGGTTCTGGGCTGGGCAGGCGCGCTCTCTGCCCGGAGTGAGGGGTCCGAGGCCGGGGTGTGGGTTGTGGGGCCGGGGTGCAGGGGCCGGGGTGCAGCGTCCGGGGCCGGGGTGCAGGGTCCGGGCCGGGACCGGGGTGCGGGGACCGGGATCCGAGGCCCAGACGCGGGCTCCAGGTCCGGGATGCAGGGGCCGGAGCCGGGGCGCGGGGTCCAGGGGCTCCGGGCCGGGGCGCCGGGACTCACCGGAGCAGTTCCAGCCCGTGGGCGTTTGGCAGTCGCTCAGGGAGGTGGGGAACGCCGCGAGCCGGGCGGGGCGGGCGACCAGGAGCAGCAGCGCGGGCAGCAGCAGTAGCCAGCACCAGCCCTCGCCCGGCGTCCAGCCGCCCGGCCGCGGGGACTCCCAGGGCCCCATGGCTAGTCGGCGCGGCTCCGCAGCGGCTCCGGGCTCGTCAGGAACGGGCGGTCGCGGGGGCCGGGCAGCGGGCTACTGAGCATCCCGCGGGCGGCGGCCCGGGCGGCGGGGGCAGGCGCGGCGGGCGGCGAAGCGGCGGCCGGGGCGGCGCATGGTCCCCGGACTTTCAGCAACATCCAGCGGCCCGGCGCGGCGCGGGCGGCGTCCGCGGAGAAGCCCCTCTGGAGCCGCGGGGAGCTGCGGCCATGGAGCGGGGGGCTCAGGGGAGCCGGGGGGCCGGGGGCCCGGAGTCCAGGGCCGCGGAGGGCAGCCCGAGGCGGCGGCGGAGGGAAGTCACGGCGCCCCGCAGCCACGCCGCCGCTCGCGCTCTGCCGCCCGCATCCCTCCGGCGCCGGGAAGCAGCAGGTCCTCTGCCGCCCAGGTCACGTGGGGAGAGGCAGGCGCGCGCTGATTGGCGGAGCGGGATGCAGGTCCCGGGAGGGCGGGGTCGGCAAGGAGGTTGGTGTGGGGGGGGCGGCCGCGGATGCCACAGATGGGCTCTCTCACCAGGCGCTGGCCCGGATGGTGCCGGGCGGGGAGGGCGCAAGTGGAAACCGCAGGCGTCTGGGGGTGCATCCCACACCTTCCTAGTATGCACCCGACCTTTCCGCTCTCTGCCCGCACCGAGCGCCCCACTTTGGTGCGTGACCGCCGGCGGGGCTGTGAGCGGCTGCGTGGCGGCCCCCGGAGCCGGAGCCGGGAGGGCGGAGGAGGCGGCTGAGCTGAGGGGGGACAGGGGCGCAGGGAAGAGGGCGCCCTGCAGGCTCCCCGCTCGCTCCGGGTGCGGGAGCGCGCCGCCTGCCTATCACCGAATGCGGGCGGGATGCGGGCTGGGATGCGGGCGGGAATGCGGGCTGGGATGCAGGCTGGGACAGGGCGGGGTGCGCCGCGGAGACCGGGGCCATGGAAAGGGGGCCAGAGAAGGAGAGACGAAGTGTGGGGACAGCCTGGCGGGCCTGGAGGCTGCCAGGGTTCCCCCAGGACCCCGAGACCCCAGGCCGCGTTCCCAGTTGGTCGCCAGCCTCCCAGGCTCTCCCATCTCCAGGCTGCCTCCCAGGCTCTCCCATCTCCAGGCTTCTCTCCCGACCTCCCTGCCCCGCAGCCCAGGCCCAGCCTCGGGGTGCACAGCTCCAAGCCATCTCCCCGCATCTTGCCGCCCGGCCTGGCGCCTGTGTGCGGGCTCCGCGGTTAGAAGGTCAGCTCTGGCCCGGACAGGTGCTGAGAGAGGGGGGCGGCAGAGGAGGGGGGCTCCCCTCCCGAGAAGCAGCTCCGTCTGGAGAGGGGCTGTCGGGGCCAGCGCAGGTGGCCCCGGGCTGAGCAGGTCTGGCCCACGCCGTGCCCCAGGCGAGCGAAAAGGGCGAAGTTGGCAGGAGCGTCTCCCTGCGTCTCTCCTGCAGCCAGTTCCGGCCAGGGCACCGCGGCCGCCCCCGCCTGCTGCCTCCCGCTCAGGTCAGACCCGCTCCCTCCTGGGCTCCTCGGGCCGGCGGAGAGGGCACTGTTCCCCCCCGGGCCCGGGTCGGTATTGCGGTGTCAGCGAGTGGATGAGTTTTCTATGTGATTATCCAGGGTTTAGTGTGCGATCGGTCCATGATTCAGGATTTTTTTCCTGCTCTTCTGCACCCTCCCTCTCTATTCTTATCTCCATCCGTCTCTCCAGCTATCCCCTTCCTTCCTCCCTTCCTCCCTCCCTTCCTTCCTTCCTCCCTTCCTCCCTTCCTCCCTTCCTCCCTTCCTTCCTTCCTTCCTTCCTTCCTTCCTTCCTTCCTTCCTTCCTTCCTTCCTTCCTGTGCGGAGGAGCATTGTCTGCAGACAGTTCAGGGCAGCTGGTGCATCACCAATCACTTCAAAGAGACGCCACTGCACTTGGCAAGCAGGAACTGTCCATCCCTGTGGCACCACCAGGACACACACATTCACACACACACTCACACAAACACACTCACACACAAGCACACACACTCACAAACACACACTCACACTCATATACACACATTCATACAAACACACACACACACTCATACTCGGACACACACACTCACACACTCACAAACACAGTCACACACACACACACACACACACACATACACACACACACACACACACACACTGTACCCAGGGATCCCTCCATGTACTTTAACCTCCAACCTCCTCCCACTTGGTGCTTCCTAACTTCTCTGAGATGCCATCTTGCAGTACCCTCAGTGCCTCCCAGAAATGTTTTTTGTTTTGTTTTTTTCTATGCAAAAACCCTTCCTTCATCCAGCATTGCCTCCTCCCAGGCCCCACCCATGCCCACTCCAGGGACTCCTGCACAGGGGCTTTCCCCTCCTGGCAATTAGGCAGCAATCCCAGCACCCAGCCCTGTCAGCTCCTCACCCCCAGAGACTCCATTAAAACAGATCAATCTGACCAGACGTCGGGGCATCAGAAAATGGGCTTCTAGACAGCATGGCTAAATTCTTCAAGGAAATCGGATGCCCATTAGACAGAGCTGCCAGTGGATGTTGGGAAAGAAAGAAAAGGAAGGAAAGGAAAGGAAGAAAAGGGAAGGAGGGAGGGAAGGGGGATGGGAGGGAGGGAGGGAGGGAAGGAGGGAAGAAGGGAGGGATGGGGAGAAAAGAAAACAAAAGAAAGGAGAAAAGAAGAAAGGAAGGAGAGAAAAAGAAAAGAAACGAAGGAAGGAGAAAAGTGGGGGAAAAGAAAGAAAGGAGAGAAAAAAGAAGAAAGGAAGAAGGAAGGAAGGAAGAAGGAAGGAAGGAAGGGAAGAAAGGATTGGAGATACCTTTCCCTTGCTCTGTCAGCAGAAAGAGCAACCTAAGTCTGTGGTTAATGCAGATGCAAATCAAGATTCAACAACCAGGCTCAGAGTGAGAGCAGTTCTTTCCCAGGGCCGCTGGGCTGGTAGCTAACCAGGCTTATGGGAAGCAGGTCATGCTGGAAACTATAGGCAAAGTCCTTAAACGCGCCATGCAGTCCTCATGATAGGGAAGCAGGACTGCGCAGTGTCAGCCTGGGCTGCATCAGTAGGGTTTTACCCAGCCTCTCTCTGCAGAGCAAACTGCAAAGTACATTGCTGGCAGGCTTTCTAGTAATATGTGCTCTTCCTCAGACCTCCTGCCCAAAGTAACTTAAACCTCTGAAGGAGGTCATTACCAATTGTGACTGGTGAGCAGATGCAGGGGCTGCCACGGTTTCTTTAAATTATTAAACAGCGGGAGCAGAGCCTCTGCAACAGGAACGCTGCGATTGTGCTCGGCTCCCTCCGAGTGGAGTGTGACAGGGCCGCTGAGAAACACCATCCGAAACTGGCAAGCACCACCAAGTGGCGGAAGAACATCACTCACGAAGGGGACCACAGTGCTCTGGAACACGTAAATATAGATATTATTTAGCCTCCTCACTCGTACAAAGGAGGTAGACAGGCATTACATTTTACAGCAATGAAGATCAGCTGAGTGAGGGCATTAGCACTTCAACTTCTCCCCTCATGGGGTCTAATCCTATTACTTCTTGGAATTGAATTTTTAAAAAAGGGCTACTAATTGTACTTAGCATTTGGGTGTTCCATGATTTCTACAGATACAACACAATCATATCATGGATTTGCAGAATTCCTCTCTCTCTCTTTTAAAATTGCACACGGTGCCAAGACCGGTTTGGCTCATAGAGCATCAGCTTGGGGACTGAAGGGACCAGGGTTCGATTCTGGTCAAGGGCATGTACTTTGGTTGGAGGCATATCCCCAATAGGGGGTGTACAAGAGGCAGCTGGTGGATGACTCTCTCTCATCGATGTTTTTAGCTCTCTATCTCTTTCCCTTCCTCTCTGTACAAAATCAATAAAATATATTAAAATAAATAAATAAATAAATAAATAAATAAATAAATAAATAAATAAAATTGCACAGGGTATTTGTTTTCAAATTTTTGAGGTATCACAGTTTTTTCATGGTATACACACTCTAGAATTGATTCAAATGAGGTAAAATCTAGTTGTAATATTTTTTATGTAGAAATAGCACACACATTTTTTTTTCCCAGAAAAACTTAAAAAAAACAACAACTATATCTTTTTTCACACATGGGAAGGGAATGAATGGGTGTTTCTTCATCGTACAGATTACCCAAGTTTCAGCAGGTAAAATGAGGGATTTTTTTGACTTAAAGCTTTTAAAATAAACATCTCACAAAAAGTGCTCTTTGATTAAGATATTTAACCGAAACAATATGCAGCAAGTTAATGTTTGCCAATCATTTGATATTTAATTTAATTACAGCCTTATCTTAGGGCTTACTTAAAAAAAATCCCCTCAATCAAACCAGAAGCTTAAATCAGTTTGGGAAGAAACTGTTTTCACAGCTGACTTGGGCTGCTTGGGCTTCTATTGAACTAAGCTAGAAGCAGACTACTCCCTGGCTTTTTGAAAAGCATGAGTCACAGTCATTCTTCCAATTTGTGTTATTGGCATTTCACTTATTTCTCACAGAAAGCCTCAATCAGCTGTCCCTCTGCAATCTGCCACATTGAATTTGTTTGTTTCTGACCTCCTATTCCTCGTCATGACATTGTAGGCCACTCAGAACTAATGTCCTCCATCTTTGCTGTTCCTCTACCCAAGGGTTTCTCTCTCCTCCCTCCACCCTCCTAAAAAAAGAAAAAGCTGAAGGCGAGTGGCTTCTGGTAGAAGATGAATTTGGGAGATGCTCCACCTAAAGACCCCTCAGCTCACGGGTAGCTCACAATGCACATTTGCATTTTCAAGGCTCTGAGGAGGCTTGCTGTAAAATCAAGCCAAGACCCATCTAGTAAAACTAAACTCCTGTTTGGAAGATCAGACAGAGGCCGAAAGCTAGGGCTCCAAGCTTTGTTAGGGGAAAGAGACCTGCCGGGCTGTCTCATAGGGGAGAGCAGCAGCACATGCAGGGGAGGAATGGGAAGGGATGGGGTTTAGGGGACATGCA